AAGATCCCCCGCATAGCCTGAACAGACTGTTGGGGCAAGTGCTGTCAGCGATCGGCGACACCAACGCGGGGGCCGGCGAGGGCGATGTGTTCGGGTCGTCATCACGCCTCGTGGCGACGTTTTACGCCACACCACGCCAAGGGGGGGAGGGGGGGGGGATGAGGGGTCGGAGGGGAGGGGGGGGGGAGTTACTCATCAAGAGGCCGAGTCGACATAGGGGCGAGATTCGGCCGGGCGTCGGTGGCCGTGAGCGGGAGTCGAACCCGGGCGGCCGGCTTCGTAGCCAGAGACACTCGCACGGTCTCCCGCACGCGGAGACCTCACGGTGCGCGTCAACGGAGCTGCGTTCTCAAGAGTCGTCGTCCTGATGTCGAAAAGGACCGCCCCGCCGTCGATCAATCGGCTCCAATCACGGTCCCAGCGGCTGTGGAGCGTTCACGCGCGGGTGCGCTTACGCGGGCCGTCTGGAACGCTCTTCCTTCCCGATATCGCGAAAGCCACTCGTGGGGTTGCCATGACGCGTTTAAATCATCTCGGATTGGCAAATTTTTTTTTTATTTATTTCCAAACTGTGCTCTTTGGTTATTTCGGTAAAGTCACGTAGGCGGAAATGTAAGTTAAGTGAATCAATTCGCGACGTTTCGGAAGCAACACAAGCCTCCGTCATCAGGTGGGATAGTCAAATTACTCCTTGCCGTGACTATCCCACCTGATGACGGGAGGCTTGTGCTGCTTCCGAAACGTCGTGATTTGATTAACTTCATTATTTTTTTTTACCCACGCGACTTTACCGAAAGAACCAAACAGTATGGATCGTTGCAGTCACGGAAACTTCAAATCCAGAATCTTTCCAAGCGCTTCGTTTTGTGTCCAATTTGGTTCGGTTCCTGCGCCCGCACCTGCGATCGTGAGCACGGTTTGGCCACGTAAGGTACGAAAGAAGAGTTCAACACACGTACACACACAACAACAACAACAAAACCACGGCCAATTGATCCGTCTAACCGTGGTTCCTCCCTTCCGTATCGCCGCTTCTCTCTCGTCCACGTCCCTCGGCCTCTCTCTCTCTCCATCTCCACCGCCCCCTCCCCCGTCACTCTCTCTTCTCGTGTCCATCACCCCCACCCACCCCCCCATTTCATCGGCTGTCCACTCTGTTCTCAATCTCACGGTATCCGTCTCCTCTCGCCCCCACGTCCTCCCCCAATGGGCCAGTCAAAATCCCCATGTAAGAGAACTACCTCGAGGTTCATAATAGAGTTCCGAACGGAACCTGTTTGGAACGGAACATTCTCTCCCTTTTTTGGAACCAGGGTTTGGCCGACTTTGACCTGGTCTCCACGGCACCGGAACCCTCTAAACATCTCCCCGGGGAATCGGTTCTGCCATAGAGCCGCACCCCCAAAATAATTAACCAAAAAATGTTGAACCTTTTTTTTGTCGTCTCGATTCCCTGTTGGGTTGTTACGGGAAGAAAGCAGGAAAAAAAAACCTACACCGCGTTTTGTATGCACGTGTGTATGCTGAACTTTTAAACACGGAAACGCACAATAATTGGTTGGCTAGGCACTCGCGAGCCGGGCCTGGCATGGTACAGGTTTTTTTTTTTAGTTTTTTCCCCCACCAGACATTTAACCATGCCGAGCCGGAGCCGAACAATCCTGCCATTGCTGGACTCTCACAATCAAGACTTCTAAATCTGACTTGGGGCCAAGCAGGGCCAGGGATGATGATGATGCGCGCGACGTCAGTCGGTGACGCGGTGACGTCACCGCGCCACTTCCAACTCGCGCAGTGACGTCACCGCACGACGTCGCGCGCGTCACGCACTCGTTCGGCACGCCCGCGCGGTAACGACGTGACGTCACGCGCGTCGGTCGGTACCCCGTGACGTCGCAGCGTCGCCACGTGTTCTCGTCGTGTCAAGTGGCTCGGCTCGCCCTTCGGGTTTCAGCAACGGGAAAGAAAAATTTGTTTTTTTAATTCGACGCCGTCGCCTTTCCCCGACGTAAAGCGCGACAGTTGCTCGCGAGCAACGCGACACTTTCCGCAGCTTCCGCCAAACGGCAAACTCCTCCGCGTTCGAAACCGTAAAACGACAAAGGCGCCGACCGGCGAGCCGAGGCGAGTCGGGGAAAAAACCGACCTCGGTTCTCGGCACACGGGGACCGGGTTACGACTACAATGGACGGACACACCGCGTCACACAAGGGGTGGTTGGGGTGGGTGGGGTGGGGATGGGTGGGGGGAGCAGGAATCCAAAACATTTTCGCGTAACATGTACAGTATATATTTTTTTTGTTTTACGTTCCCCGTGTAACGTTTAGGTAGCTTCAAGATAGTGTAAATCAGACAAAAGTATTCGTTTTCGTCGGTTTTTTTTCCCCCTCTCAAAGTAAAAACTTAATTTCATTTCCCCAGCGAAAAAGTTTAAATATTTTTTTTTTTATTGAGGCAGGGGTAAGGGGGGGGGGGTATTTTATTTTTTCCCGCCCTTTTTTTTTTAACGTCGCACGCGCGGCTGCTTATTTATTTATTTATACGCGCATGCGCACACCACGCCCACCCCTAACCCCCCCACCACTAACCCCCCCACCCCCCACCCCCTCCCCCCCGTCTTCTCCATGCAATTCTTGAAACGCACTGGAAAAATTAAAAAGCAGGTGCCGGGGCTGTTCGTTTACGAGTTTAACAAATTACGGTAAAAGTAATTAAACCACAAGACGGACGGACGGACGGCATCGTCAGACAGTGACACAAAAAACGCAAAAAAATTTAAAACGATTCGGCGGCAGGCAAATTATTTACGGATTCGGCGATCTCATCAGGGGGGTGGGGTTGGTGAGGGGGGGGGGGGGTCGTGGGGGGGTTCGTAAGGAGGTCACCCACACCCCCCCAAAGGGGTAGAGGGTCTATGCAAGAAGAGGATTGGGATTGTCTGTGGGTAACTGGGTCTTGCAATTAATTGTTGTGGGGGAGGGGGTAAAGGGGGGGGGGGTGTGGTAAAGTGGGGTGGTAGGGATCCTGGGTAAAACCGTCAGCACCGCCCACTTCCGCATAGCCACGCCCACTCCAATCACTAGCACCGCCCGCTTTCGCACAGCCCCCCGCCCACTGCAACAACTAGCGCCGCCCGCTTCCGCGTAGCCACGCCCACCCCGACCACTGGCGCCGCCCACTTGCGCGCAGCCACGACCCAGTGCGACCACTGGCGCCGCCCACTTGCGCACAGCCCTACGCCCACTGCGGCCACTAGCACCGCCCACTCGCCAAGGGGCCCCGCCCACTGCCGTGCGGCAGTTGAGGTTGGTTTGGGTTTGGCGATTCGGCGTCAAAAGGTCATTTTGTGACCCAACACCGGTGACCCTGAAACTGACCGGATAGAGGGGGGGGGGGGGGGGCTTACGCTGCTGGCGATGGAACGCCCCCGGGATTAATATCGGACGGGTAACAAAAGCCAGGAGATTGTTCTGTGTCCGGCACACCACATCAACGGCGATCCTTTCTCGCTCGCTGGCTCACGGGCCGCGACGCGGAAAACACGCGGTTGGCAAAACGAGACCCCGGGACTTTTTGTTGTTCGTTGCCGCGGAATTGCCGAGAGACGTCGCGAGCAAACCCCAAAAACGTCCCGCGCCGTGCACAACTTCCCGGCTGCTGGAACTTTTTCCGTCTGAGAAGCTGCCGATTTGCGGTGCCGGAAGGGGGATGTATGCCGAGACTTGGCGGACGATGAATTACTAACCGGCGATAACTTTGTCGCCATTGTCGTCTGTCTGTCTGTCTGTCTGCCGTTTGTTAAATGTTGTTGTGGTTTCACTCTCGAACGCTCGACCGGTGAGCTGTACTAGTAACACAACCGGCTTGCTTCAGCGTAAAACCCACAACATTCACAATTGTTTACAATGCTGTGGGGGGCGTGCTCTCCAACACACAACAACCGGTGTGCTGTACCAGTAACGAATTGGCACGTTCCGTGTACGCGCCATGTGTTAGTCATTCTCGCGCCGGAGACCGCATCAGACCCCTCCCCCCCCCCCCCAAAATGCGGGAGTTCGATTTGGGGTCAGGGTCAGAACGTCGGGTTCAGTCGGTATGGGTCAAGAGGTCAGGCTCCCGGATACAGTAAACCTTCCCCTCTTCTCATTGCACTACGCACTAGGGGTTATACCCAGGGGATTGGGGGGGGGTTATACCCAGGGGATTAGGGGGGGGTTATACCCAGGGAATTTGGGGGGGGTTAGGGGGGTTTTAGGGGTTAAGGTCTAGGTAGTTGGGTTCAACTCAAGTGTACAGGTGCTGGGTTTAGGGTGAGGGTTAGACACGTGGGTCAGGGTCAAGGCTCAGCTTTGGGGGTAGAGACGGGGGCATTAGGGTTGAAGCCGAGGTAAAGGTACTGGGTTGGGATTGGAACCAGTGGATAGGCATTCGGGTCATGGATAGACCCAGGGTCTAGGGGTTATGGTTAAGCTCCGAGCGTCTGGCTTGGGGTGAGATTAGATCCCGAACCTTGGATGTTAGGCTTAGGGTTAGACCCAGGGTCTCGGCATTCTAGAGAGCTGTAGCTGCTGCAGTTAACACCCTGGGTTAAGGTGTCCGGGTGAGGCTTAGACCCAGAGTCTAGGGGGGTGGTTGGGGTTCCAGTGCAGGTATGCGGGGCCCTGGTTCAGAGTGGTCGGGGGTTAGATCCGAGGTCCAGGTGTCGGGGTCCGAGGTGGAGTTATAGCTTTTGGACTTAGCCATTAAACTCGGGGGGGGGGGGGGGGCGGTTAGGGTTAGAGGTCACGGTCGAGGTGTTCGGGGGGGGGCAGTGGGGGGGGGGGTCTGGAGATGGTTGTCTACTGGTGTGGTTCAGGGTCTCGGCGTTTGGGGGGAGGGGGGGGGTTAGCGATTGGGTTAGGGGCCTTGGTGTAGGGTCGGGGTAAGACCCCGAGGTCTTTGGGTTGGGGGGGGGCGGGGGGAGTCCGATTGGGTTTCAACGCATTGTGGTGGTGTTGGTGGGTGGTGGTGGCAGGGGGTTGGTGGGGGGGGGGGGGGACGTGGAGGGCTTGCGGGCTGCACCGGGGCGAGGTGGCCGGCCCCCCGTCAGATGAAGTACTCCTTCTTCTCCTCGTTGGTGGCGGGGCCGCCCTCCGCGTTGATGATGGCCGTGTCCGCGTCCGGGGCGTCCTCCGCCCCCTTCGCCTCGTGGGTGAGGTACGTCCCTGCGAGGGGGGGGGGGGGGTCGGGGTCGGGGTGGGGGGGGGGGAGATGCACGGGAGGTCACGGTGGGGGACACGTGGAGAGACGCGGGGAGAGACGCGGGGAGAGACGCGGGGAGGACGTGGAGGAGGACGTGGGGAGACGTGGAGGAGGACGTGGGGAGATGTGTGGAGATGCGTGGAGACGCGGGGACACGCGGGGAGACATGGGGAGGACGTGGGGAGACGTTGGAGACGCGGGAAGACGCGGGGAGACGTGGGGAGACGTGGGGACACGTGGGGAGACGTGGGGTGATTGCAGCAGGTGACACGTGGGGTGATTGCAGCAGGTGACACGTGGGGTGGCTGCAGCAGGTGACACGTGGGGTGACAGCAGCAGGTGACACGTGGGGAGGCTGCAGCAGGTGACACGTGGGGTGGCTGCAGCAGGTGACACGTGGGGTGACTGCATCAGGTGACACGTGGGGTGACTGCAGCAGGTGACACGTGGGGTGGCAGCAGCAGGTGACACGTGGGGTGACTGCAGCAGGTGACACGTGGGGTGGCAGCAGCAGGTGACACGTGGGGTGACAGCAGCAGGTGACACGTGGGGTGGCAGCAGCAGGTGACACGTGGGGTGGCTGCAGCAGGTGACACGTGGGGTGGCTGCAGCAGGTGACACGTGGGGTGGCAGCAACAGGTGACACGTGGGGTGGCAGCAGCAGGTGACACGTGGGGTGGCTGCAGCAGGTGACACGTGGGGTGACAGCAGCAGGTGACACGTGGGGTGACTGCAGCAGGTGACACGTGGGGTGGCAGCAGCAGGTGACACGTGGGGTGACTGCAGCAGGTGACACGTGGGGTGACTGCAGCAGGTGACACGTGGGGTGACTGCAGCAGGTGACACGTGGGGAGGCTGCAGCAGGTGACACGTGGGGTGACTGCAGCAGGTGACACGTGGGGTGACTGCAGCAGGTGGCACGTGGGGTGACTGCAGCAGGTGACACGTGGGGTGACAGCAGCAGGTGACACGTGGGGTGGCAGCAGCAGGTGACACGTGGGGTGACTGCAGCAGGTGACACGTGGGGTGACTGCAGCAGGTGACACGTGGGGTGGCAGCAGCAGGTGACACGTGGGGTGGCAGCAGCAGCAGGTGACACGTGGGGTGGCAGCAGCAGGTGACACGTGGGGTGGCAGCAGCAGCAGGTGACACGTGGGGTGGCAGCAGCAGGTGACACGTGGGGAGGCTGCAGCAGGTGACACGTGGGGTGGCAGCAGCAGCAGGTGACACGTGGGGTGACTGCAGCAGGTGACACGTGGGGTGGCAGCAGCAGCAGGTGACACGTGGGGTGGCAGCAGCAGGTGACACGTGGGGAGGCTGCAGCAGGTGACACGTGGGGTGGCAGCAGCAGGTGACACGTGGGGTGGCAGCAGCAGGTGACACGTGGGGTGACTGCAGCAGGTGACACGTGGGGTGACTGCAGCAGGTGACACGTGGGGTGACTGCAGCAGGTGACACGTGGGGAGGCTGCAGCAGGTGACACGTGGGGGTGACTGCAGCAGGTGACACGTGGGGTGACTGCAGCAGGTGGCACGTGGGGTGACTGCAGCAGGTGACACGTGGGGTGACAGCAGCAGGTGACACGTGGGGTGGCAGCAGCAGCAGGTGACACGTGGGGTGACTGCAGCAGGTGACACGTGGGGTGGCAGCAGCAGCAGGTGACACGTGGGGTGGCAGCAGCAGGTGACACGTGGGGTGGCAGCAGCAGGTGACACGTGGGGTGACTGCAGCAGGTGACACGTGGGGTGACAGCAGCAGGTGACACGTGGGGTGGCGGGCCCCCCGCACCTTTGTGTCGTGCCAGGTATCGCCCGAGCACGATGAGCAGGCAGAGCGTGGCGAACACCACGACCGCCACCACGCCGCCGATCACCGCCGTGTCCGTGCCGGCCTGGCGCTCCTGGATGCCGGGGTCTACTGGGGGGGCCACACGCGGGGGGGGGGGGGGGGGGGCCTGGGGGGAGTGGGGGAAACGTGGCGGAGACACGAGGGTGGATACGGGGGGGGTAGACGCATGGCGGAGACACGGGAAGATACATAAAGACAATGCAATCACGATGCAATCACGATGCAATACGATCCCAATGCAATCACGATGCAATACTATCCCAATGCAATCACGATGCAATGCTATCCCAATGCAATTATGCAATGCAATGCGATTCCGCCGCACTTGTGACTGCACCGCAACGATGGCCATGGGCACGTTGACTTTATGACGAGAAGAAAGCAGTCACGGGGGCAGAGGGCAGCAAGTGTACGGGTCTCTGTGTGAGTCTGTGAGTCTCTGTGCGAGTCGCTGTGCGAGTCTGTGGGTCAGTGGGGTGAGTCTGTGGGTCTCTGTGTGAGTCTATGGGTCTCTGTGCGAGTCTGTGGGTCTCTGTGCGAGTCTGTGGGTCAGTGGGGTGGGTCTCTGTGTGAGTCTGTGGGTCTCTGTGTGAGTCTGTGGGTCTCTGTGCGAGTCTGTGGGTCAGTGGGGTGGGTCTCTGTGTGAGTCTGTGGGTCTCTGTGTGAGTCTGTGGGTCTCTGTGCGAGTCTGTGGGTCTCTGTGCGAGTCTGTGAGTCTCTGTGCGAGTCTGTGGGTCTCTGTACGAGTCTGTGGGTCTCTGTGCGAGTCTGTGGGTCTCTGTGCGAGTCTGTGGGTCTCTGTGTGAGTCTGTGGGTCTCTGTGCGAGTCTGTGGGTCTCTGTGCGAGTCTGTGGGTCTCTGTGCGAGTCTGTGGGTCTCTGTGCGAGTCTGTGGGTCTCTGTGCGAGTCTGTGGGTCTCTGTGTGAGTCTGTGGGTCTCTGTGCGAGTCTGTGGGTCTCTGTGCGAGTCTGTGGGTCTCTGTGCGAGTCTGTGGGTCTCTGTGTGAGTCTGTGAGTCTCTGTGTGAGCCTGTGGGTCTCTGTGTGAGTCTGTGGGTCTCTGTGTGAGTCTGTGGGTCTCTGTGCGAGTCTGTGGGTCTCTGTGCGAGTCTGTGGGTCTCTGTGCGAGTCTGTGAGTCTCTGTGTGAGTCTGTGGGTCTCTGTGCGAGTCTGTGGGTCTCTGTGTGAGTCTGTGGGTCTCTGTGCGAGTCTGTGGGTCTCTGTGCGAGTCTGTGGGTCTCTGTGTGAGTCTGTGGGTCTCTGTGCGAGTCTGTGGGTCTCTGTGTGAGTCTGTGGGTCTCTGTGCGAGTCTGTGGGTCTCTGTGCGAGACTGTGGGTCTCTGTGCGAGTCTGTGGGTCTCTGTGCGAGTCTGTGGGTCTCTGTGCGAGTCTGTGGGTCTCTGTGCGAGTCTGTGGGTCTCTGTGCGAGTCTGTGGGTCTCCGTGCGAGTCTGTGGGTCTCTGTGCGAGTCTGTGGGTCTCTGTGTGAGTCTGTGGGTCTCTGTGTGAGTCTGTGGGTCTCTGTGCGAGTCTGTGGGTCTCTGTGTGAGTCTGTGGGTCTCTGTGTGAGTCTGTGGGTCTCTGTGCGAGTCTGTGGGTCTCTGTGCGAGTCTGTGGGTCTCTGTGCGAGTCTGTGGGTCTCTGTGTGAGTCTGTGGGTCTCTGTGCGAGTCTGTGGGTCTCTGTGTGAGTCTGTGGGTCTCTGTGCGAGTCTGTGGGTCTCTGTGCGAGTCTGTGGGTCTCTGTGCGAGTCTGTGGGTCTCTGTGCGAGTCTGTGGGTCTCTATGTGAGTCTGTGGGTCTCTATGCGAGTCTGTGGGTCTCTGTGTGAGTCTGTGGGTCTCTGTGCGAGTCTGTGGGTCTCTGTGTGAGTCTGTGGGTCTCTGTGCGAGTCTGTGGGTCTCTGTGTGAGTCTGTGGGTCTCTGTGCGAGTCTGTGGGTCTCTGTGCGAGTCTGTGGGTCTCTGTGTGAGTCTGTGGGTCTCTGTGTGAGTCTGTGGGTCTCGGTGTGAGTCTGTGGGTCTCTGTGCGAGCCTGTGGGTCTCTGTGCGAGTCTGTGGGTCTCTGTGCGAGTCTGTGGGTCTCTGTGCGAGTCTGTGGGTCTCTGTGCGAGACTGTGGGTCTCTGTGCGAGCCTGTGGGTCTCTGTACGAGTCTGTGGGTCTCCGTGCGAGTCTGTGGGTCTCTGTGCGAGTCTGTGGGTCTCTGTGTGAGTCTGTGGGTCTCTGTGTGAGTCTGTGGGTCTCTGTGTGAGTCTGTGGGTCTCTGTGTGAGTCTGTGGGTCTCTGTGTGAGTCTGTGGGTCTCTGTGCGAGTCTGTGAGTCTCTGTGCGAGTCTGTGAGTCTCTGTGCGAGTCTGTGTGAGTCTGTGGGTCTCTGTGCGAGTCTGTGGGTCTCTGTGCGAGTCTGTGGGTCTCTGTGCGAGTCTGTGAGTCTCTGTGCGAGTCTGTGGGTCTCTGTGCGAGTCTGTGAGTCTCTGTGCGAGTCTGTGGGTCTCTGTGCGAGTCTGTGGGTCTCTGTGCGAGTCTGTGGGTCTCTGTGCGAGTCTGTGGGTCTCCGTGCGAGTCTGTGGGTCTCCGTGCGAGTCTGTGGGTGTCTGTGTGAGTCTATGGGTCTCTGTGTGAGTCTGTGGGGTCTCTGTGCGAGTCTGTGGGTCTCTGTGCGAGTCTGTGGGTCTCTGTGTGAGTCTATGGGTCTCTGTGCGAGTCTGTGAGTCTCTGTGCGCGTCTGTGGGTCTCTGTGCGAGTCTATGGGTCTATGTGCGAGTCTGTGGGTATCTCTGTGACTGTGGGTCTCTGTGCGAGTCTGTGGGTCTCTGTGCGAGTCTGTGGGTCTCTGTGCGAGTCTGTGGGTCTCTGTGCGAGTCTGTGGGTATCTCTGTGACTGTGGGTCTCTGTGCGAGTCTGTGGGTCTCTGTGCGAGTCTATGGGTCGCTGTACGAGTCTGTGGGTCTAGGTGAGTCAATGAGTCTCTGTGTGGGTCTAGAGGTCTCTATGTTACTCTATGGGTCGCTGTGTGAGTCTATGGGTCTCTGTGCGAGTCTGTGGGTCTCTGTGTGAGTCTATGGGTCTCTGTGCGAGTCTGTGGGTCTCTGTGCGAGTCCGTGGTCTCTGTGCGAGTCTGTGGGGCTCTGTGTGAGTCTCTGTGCGAGTCTGTGCCTCTGTGAGTCTGTGGGTCTCTGTGCGAGTCTGTGGGTCGCTGTGCGAGTCTGTGAGTCTCTGTGCGAGTCTGTGGGTGTCTGTGTGAGTCTATGGGTCTCTGTGTGAGTCTGTGGGTCTATGTGCGAGTCTGTGGGTCTCTGTGGGTCTCTGTGTGAGTATCTGTGCGAGTCTGTGGGTCTCTGTGCGAGTCTGTGGGTCTCTGTGCGAGTCTGTGGGTCGCTGTGCGAGTCTGTGAGTCTCTGTGCGAGTCTGTGGGTCTCTGTGCGAGTCTGTGGGTCTCTGTGCGAGTCTGTGGGTATCTCTGTGACTCTGTGGGTCTCTGTGCGAGTCTGTGGGTCTCTGTGCGAGTCTGTGGGTCTCTGTGCGAGTCTGTGGGTCTCTGTGCGCGTCTGTGGGTGTCTGTGTGAGTCTGTGGGTCTCTGTGCCAGTCTGTGGGTCTCTGTGCGAGTCTGTGGGTGTCTGTGTGAGTCTGTGGGTCTCTGTGCCAGTCTGTGGGTCTCTGTGCGAGTCTGTGGGTCTCTGTGCGAGTCTTTGGGTCGCTGTTCGAGTCTGTGGGTCTAGGCGAGTCTCTGAGTCTCTGTGTGGGTCTAGAGGTCTCTATGTTACTCTATGGGTCTCTGTGTGAGTCTATGGGTCTCTGTGCGAGTCTGTGGGTCTCTGTGTGAGTCTGTGGGTCTCTGTGCGAGTCTGTGGGTCTCTGTGCGAGTCTGTGGGTCTCTGTGCGAGTCTGTGGGTCTCTGTGTGAGTCTGTGGGTCTCTGTGCGAGTCTGTGGGTCTCTGTGCGAGTCTGTGGGTCTCTGTGCGAGTCCGCGGGTCTCTGTGCGAGTCTGTGGGGCTCTGTGTGAGTCTTTGGGTCTCTGTGTGAGTCTGTGGGTCTCTGTGCGAGTCTGTGGGTCTCTGTGTGAGTCTGTGGGTCTAGGTGACTCTATGAGTCTCTGCGTGGGTCTGTAGGTCTGTGTCTATGGGTCTCTATGTGAGTCTGTGGGTCTAGGTGAGTCTATGGGTCTCTGTGAGTTTCGAGGCCTGTGTTTACGGGTCTCTGTGCGAATCTGTGGGTGTGGCTGGGTGAGTCTATGGGTCTCTGTGTGGGTCTATGCGTCTGTGTCTATGGGTCTTTGTGAGAGTCTATTGGCATGTGCCTATGGGTCTCTGTGTGCGTATGTAGGACTGTGTCTGTGGGTCTCTGTGGGAGTATGTAGGACTGTGTCTGTGGGTCTCTGTGTGAGTCTATGGGTCTGTGTCTGTTGGTCTCTGTGTGAGTCTATAGGTCTGTGTCTGTGGGTCTCTGTGTGAGTCTATGGGTCTATGTGCGAGTCTATGGGTCTCTGTGTGAGTCTGTAGGTCTGTGTCTATGGGTCTCTGTGTGAGTCTATAGGTCTGTGTCTGTGGGTCTCTGTGTGAGTCTATGGGTCTGTGTCTGTGGGTCTCTGTGTCTATGGGTCTCTGTGTGAGTCTGTGGGTCTGTGTTTATGGGTCTCTGTGTGAGTCTATGGGTCTCTGTGTAAGTCTATGGGTCTCTGTGTGAGTCTATAGGTCTGTGTCTGTGGGTCTCTGTGTGAGTCTATGGGTCTCTGTGTCTATGGGTTTGTGAGAGTCTGTGGGTCTCTGTGTGAGTCTATAGGTCTATGTTTATGGGTCTCTGTGCGAGTCTGTGGGTCTGTGTCTGTGGGTCTCTGTGTGAGTCTATGGGTCTCTGTGTGAGTCTATGGGTCTCTGTGTGAGTCTATGGGTCTCTGTGTGAGTCTATAGGTCTGTGTCTATGGGTCTCTGTGTGAGTCTATAGGTCTGTGTTTATGGGTCTCTGTGCGAGTCTATGGGTCTTTGTGTGAGTCTATGGGTCTGTGTCTATGGGTCTCTGTGTGAGTCTATGGGTCTCTGTGTGAGTCTATGGGTCTCTGTGTGAGTCTATGGGT